GGGGGGGGGGGGGGGGGGGCCGTTGTCCTGTAGATGGGGAGGGAGGGCGAGGGTGGCAAGGCAGGCGGAGGGCGCAGAGTTGTTACGTGGGGTGAGCATCTCGCTTCTGGGGACCCAACCAGGTATCTAGACTCGGAGGCTCCGGGGCATGCAAACATCCCTCCCAACACCACACTCTTCGTCAACAGACCGCTGCCGCGGCGGAGGCTGCTGCAGCAGAGGCTGAGCTGCGGCGGCGGCAGGCCAGGACGCAAGCCGCCGCCGGGCTCCTCGCCCGACTCCCGGCCGAACCCGGGCGAGGCGCGGCGGGGTGCGCCACCTGCCTGCTGCGCCTCGGCGACGGATCACGGCATACGCGCCGGTTTTTCTTGGACGGCTCACTGCAGCCGCTGCTGGAGTGGGCGGAGGCCAGCGGGGCGGCCGCGCTGCCCGAGCGGTATAACTTGGTGCTGCAGTACCCACGGCGCACCCTTTTGCCGCCCCAGGGCGGCCAGTGGCCCAGCCTGGCCGAGGCGGGGCTGGTGGAGGGGCAGAACGTGATTTTCGTAGAGGCATTGACAGTCGGTGATGACGAGGCGTGAGCCTTCGTCTCGAGTGCATTCTCCTGCATGGCGTCTGTGCATCCTCGCACAAGGCTGACTTTGCAGTGCTTGCAAGTTGAGATTACTGCCCAAGATCCCACCATTCTCATGTGAGTTGTGTCCCCCTCCCTAAACTCCATCAACCCTGCACTGTCCTAGAATTTCGTGTGAAGATATTTGCAGAAGATATTATTAGCAGATAAATGGAAACCCCCTTTAAATCTTTAGAGAGGAAGGCATGGCCAAAAATATGATGGGAATGAATCGTGGCTGGTGACATACCGCCACAAAACGTGCTTGTTCCACACTCTGAACAGCGAGGACGGTAGACATCCATTGAACAACTCGGAGGCTGTCACACCGAGGGCTTGATGAGGAGATCAGTCCGGGTCGCACGTGCAAGGAGGAATGAATGTATGTGACTTGGGGGTTAAGCCAGGCGTCGGCAGCGGTGGTACACCATACAACCTCATTCCCACATTCACTTGATATTGCCATTCAGCCCCTCGGGGAAGAAGCCGCCCTTGTCAGTGCCACCCAGGTACACCACCGCCAGGATCTGGCTGGGATCGCGGGAAAAGGCGACCGAGGTGTTGGCGGAGGCGGGGACGAACAGGGGCGCACTCTCGGAGCCGCCCAGGTCAAAGGCATCCACGGGCTCGCCCTGAACCGTCTCGCGCAGGGCGGCGATGGCGTCCACGATGGTGGACACGGGCACACCGTAAGGCGTGACCGTGTCGATGTCGCCCAGCAGGAAAGCGCGAACCGCGCCGGCGTGGTAGGCCTCCACTGCGGCAATACCGGCGGCGGTGGGGACGTAGGTGGTGTCGGAGATGGAGGGTAGAGCGCCCAGGTAGGCGGTCACACCCACGTCCTCGAAGATGAAGGCGCCGTGGTAGAAGAAGAGGTCGTTGGCGTAGGGGGTGAAGGGGGGGTCCAGGCTGTGACGATGATGGGGCAGTGGGAGGGGTATGAGCATCACAGCGCAGCGGTGAAGGTATACGCGTACACGTGTGGGTTGCAGGATGTAGCCAAAACCCTTTGTTCACGGACCGCCAGTCCTTCGCAGCGCCATGCCACACGGCAAACTCACGTCAAGTTGAGGGCGGCGTTGGCAGCGGCGGCAAAGGCAGGGCCCAGATCGATGGCGGGGATGGGCACGGCTGCGTCTCCCAGCACACTCCTGTCATAAAGTAAGGGAGTAGGATGACATCATCTGAGGACCTTATCCTCACTGAACTCGAATTGCTCATGAAACAACACCCAACCCTCTCACATCTCACGTCATCCAATTTCACTACCAGTCAGTCGACCTTCTGCTAAGAAAATCGTACTGAAGCCCAGGACACCAACGCACCTCAGCAGCCTGACGTGGTTGATCTCATCGACTGCCAGAGCCTCAGCGAAGAACTGGCCTGTGAAATAAGAAAAGGTGGGCAACTTTGGGTGATCGCTTCTCGTGCCTCCACTTCATAGTCGTGAGGTAGCTCACGAAATCGCAGAATGCCTGGCGCCTTGAGCAATGAATCGACGGAGCATCGGGAGACGCATAGGCATCACATCGCCCATGAACTTGCGGCTGCGCACCCTTTTCGGTCAGGTTGGCCTTCTCTCCGCCAATGACCTCGGGACCGCTGCCGGTGAGATCCGAGTCGAGGCCAACGCCTGCGTAAGGGCCACGGAGTGAACACGAGTCGGTACTTCATGGCAGCCGAGGCAGGAGTTTTGGCATCCCTCATCATGGATAATCGGCAAGGAATTTTTACAATCACGCGTGGCTCTAGAGGAAGCTTTACCGAAGGATCAGTACCAGAGCACCACCAGGCCATCTTACCCCTCCATGGAGCTGGCCACTGCGGGCGACTCATGCACCATCAGATACTCCCAAAAACTCACAGAAACCTACCTCGGGCAGCGTAAGAGTAGAAAGATGCCTCCAGGTACTCGAGGTTGAGGGCAAAGTTCAGGATATCAGTGTCCGTGATGGCAAGCGCGCATGGTGCTGCCACGAGGGTGATCGCGATGAACGCGAGGACGCTGGCACGAGACACCATTGTTGAGGTCTAATTAACGTTCGATGTGGAAGGGGAGTTGGGATTTGCTACGATTTCAACTTTCGGACAGGATTTTATGGCCCTGATCGTGCACCACCACTGTACGACGAGATTCGAGCGACTGCCACGGGTTAAATGGACAGGGATCGCGGGATGCCGGAGGCAACTGCCCCGTAACTGTACCGGCAGTCAACCACCTCCCATGCCAAATCTAGGCCATGCGGACCCCTATTTGAAATCTCTGCAGAGTTGTCCGAGCCAAGTGGTCGGACTTGGTCCTGGTACGGAAGTGTCCGGCGGTGCCGCAAAAGCGCGGACTGTCTTGCGGAATGCTTTCGATCATAGCCAGGAAGCTCCAGTTTCCGCTCGCTGACGCATGGGAGAAAGATCGTGCCCGACCCGTCCGACGGGTGCAGCAGTGCAGATTCCTAGGGAACATGCTTCCCAGGTCCTGGTAGTCATCCTTGTGGGTTTTCACGGTGAGCGTGTGCGCGTCCTATCCCCATGATTTCTGCAAACCAGCGAAGCAAGGCATACGCTGGTGAAGGCGCTGACAACGATGCCGAGCTCAGTCCTGTTTGCTCATGTGGATCAACAACGAGCTTGCTTGTCAAAAAGTGAAGCTGAGGCGAGGCTGTGGGGTGACCCTTGGAGAGGTTGTGCAGTATTCTTGTGAGCTTCCCTTGATGCTTACCTTCCAGTGAACTTGGAATTCTGCCCCAGCGTGCCTTGGGGTCGCTAACAGGTGCAAGCAAGTAAGGGACTCTTGCACTGTGCATTTTCCTGCTCCGGTTGAACACCTCCCCACTGTCATCCTGATACCCACCCTAAATTGGGTATTGAGAGGGCGAGGCCTTTGGGGGGTGCACAAGGCAAAACCGAGAGCGCAGCCCAGCTGCAACTTGCGACGTAGTCCAGGGCACGGTACCAGATGGCACGTGGTATTTTATCAATCTAGCCTTTTGGCGGCGTTGATTGTGATATTTGAATGGCAGCTTCGCGCTATTCAGATTGTGAAGAGGGGTTATTGGTGACCACAATGACATTTGCCTCCGGGGTATACACCCTTGTCTTCTGTAAGACCACTCCAAGTCTGATCCAGCGACTGGTGCTGTGCGTCATGGCCTCCCAGAAGCATGCGATTGATGTCTTCCAGAATCACTTGTCATCCCAACGCAAATGGAGTTAGTGCATGGTCTTCAGACTGAGGAGCAGCCGAGCCAGATCAGATGGGTGTCCGAGTTTGTTTACTCACAATTGTTTACCCAGCCATTCCCTTGGCTGACCTTCAGCAGACGAAGGTAAGGCCAAGAAGATGCCCACAAATGATTTCCACGGTAGTGAGCCCCGCATTGCTATCCCAACCTATGCTCTTGGCACAAGCTGCGTCAATACGAAACTGTACACGGGGTCATTTGCAGTGTGATTCTTCTCCTCCAGACAGCGCTTCTTCCCGAATCGGGGTCCGCAACGATGCAATGCTCAAGCATTTCGTTGCATGATTTGTAGGCGATGTAGAGTGTCTTGTCATGTCTAGACGTAGTTTTTTGCTCGCCGGCATCGCCGCTGCGAACCTCGTCATATGGACCTTCAAGGTGCTCGGGTCCAGGGTAGGGAACATCTTTCGGGCGCAACCTTACGGGAACCTCAACTCCATTATAAGCTTCTCCAGTCGTCTCATTGCTGGTGAGCGCGGAGGAAGAGGGTGCTTCATTGGCTGAGTATGCTGTGGGCTCCATCGGAGGTTTTTCCGTGCGATGATCGGACAGGTTACCCTCATCAACCCTGCCCCGCCTCGCAGCATCCCGGGCATTGGAGACGGAAGAAGATGATCCAATCATCAGGGATGAGCTCGCGGCATCCCTGGCTGGGCCAGGGCCTCTCGAGCGCGCGCGCTCTCGCGCCCAGGCAAGCAGGGAGTAAGAGCCGTGGAGTGCACCAGCTCTGTATGCCACCCACTCCGTCCAACGTGTCACATGCGCACCACAACCTCACACAGGCTGCCCCAGAGGGGTCGGGCCGGAAGTTCAAGGTGGGGCCCATGGCCCTGAGGACCTGGTGGTTTGATCAACGCCTGCTGACTCTGCTGGAAAGTGGGAAGCAGGGGCCTGGTCCTCGCCAGGTTGTCGTCCTGGGTGCTGGCATGGACACAAGACCCTGGAGACTGCAGCTGCCTCTAGGTGAGCGGGAGATGGGCGAAATGCCTTTCACCAATGTGAGAGCAGACCTGTGGATGTCTCACGCTCAGTACGCAAGACTCCTCACACGCTTCCAAGATGCTCCTGTACTGCATGTCTTGTGCATAGGAGCATTCAATCCCAGTCTTGCAGGTCCACAACAAAATCGGGGATACATGGATCCTGCACCGTCACCCCTACTCAGGTGTCAGCTGGTATGAGGTGGACAGATCGGATGTCCTGGCCGCCAAACGACATGCTTTGAAGAAGAATGGGGCCGGACTGGAGCCAGGCCACACGCGGAAGGCCTACCCACTCCTGACAGGCAGTTGGAAGGGCGTGGAAGCTGACCTGGAGGAACCTGGGTGGTGGGAGTCGCTATTGGCTTCTGGCTTTGACCCGGGGAGCCCGGTCGTCTGGCTTGCCGAGGGACTTCTCATGTGTGAGTAATGGTCAGCGTGGGTGCGAGCTTTGCTTCTCATCAAGAGAGCTTACTTGCAGCATGCTCTGGCTGGGACGACGTGCTTGATTGCACGGGTTTCTTATATGAGGAAGGTACTCGTGGGCTGCTGCTGAGGTTTTGCAAGCACCATGTGGTTTACTCGCGGACTTGGGGAAGCAATGCCACAGGGAGCTCCATACGACCCTTCCATGCTCTGGGTTCTCCTCGCCACATTTCTGCCTCACCTCTCCATTCCAATCTGTCCAGATCTGGAGGGCAAGAGCGTCGCCAGCCTCTTGTCGACCATTTCAAGTGAGGCTGAGGGGCAAGGTAGACCTATCAAGGCTTATGACCAGGCTGCTTTGAATGGCCCCTCGTGCCCAAACCGTCCCCGTGCATGATGCAGGCGCCAATCTCTCGCCACTTCATGATCATTTTGAGCGGCTGTCTGACTTTGTCATGCCCCACACCCAACCCACATTACATGCCATCCTATCTCTCCTTTGTCCCAGGGCTGTCCAGCCAGAACTCCGCCCTGCTGACAATGAGCCTCACAGAGAGCATGCTGAACAGGCTCAGCGGGGTGCGCTCGCCCCGGGCCGAGTTGATTGCCACTTGGAAGTTTGGCTGCCCCACCGACCCCACAGATGTGAGGCGATCAGTTCCCAGGGAAGGCGATCCTGTGGCATGGACTGTGCGCCTGCAGTTTCGCCTTGTTTCAACCCTCCCTCCATGGGTTCTGATGCTGTCATGGATGATCACTCCTCACCTCAAAACCTCGCCTGCCTACAGTACTTTGCGGCCTTGGGCTGGGAGGTGGAGAGCATCAGCACGCGGGCCGACATGGCGACAGCCCTGAAACTGGATCCCGAGATATGCCAGAAGAGCCCATCTGCTTCGCCTGGAGGTGGCACATTGTTTATTGTTGCAGCCCCTCTGGCCCCCTCTACCGAAGCGATCTGACCGCATGTAATCTATCTCCCTGCTTGTCATTCTAGCCTGGGCTCAGGGCGCGACAACCTGGGGCGCGCTCGAGGACCTTGAAGTTAAAGCGCTCGACCCATCTGCATCACATTCTCATCAAGAGTGCTGCACTCATCCGTGTAACCACCAATCAGATACTTACCAGTATATTACCGCGGGCGATCAGCGGGTCGATACCGGGCAGCCCCCGTCCCGACAGACGACGATTCCAGGAGCGGAGCTTACTGCCAGGATGGATTTCCAGGGCCAGCGCTTGTCGGAGAAGCTGTATGTCGCGATACTTAGCCTGGCAGGGGCAGTGGCCTTTCTCGTGGGCTACCTGACGCAGAGCTTTGCCAACATGCTCATCGCCTTCAGCTGCGGCGTGGGCATCTCACTCCTGATGAGTGTTCCAGACTGGCCCATCTACAACAAGCACCCCATCAAGTGGCTGCCGGCCTCAGAGGCTCCTCGCGCGGAGGCAAAGCAAGGTGGGAAGGCTGGATCACAGCGGAAGCAGCGGCCACCAAGCGCAAGCTGGCGAAACTTTTGGAACTTATTCTAGTTGTTTGGTTCTTCACCATGCTGCATAGCACTGCCAGGTTCCTCTTGCTGTATGCTTTAAGCGTCATTCTGTTGATAAGTTTGGTCGTAGGGTGGGGGAGATCTTTGCACTTGCTTCTGTAGATGGTCAATGGCTTCAGATTGAGGGAGTTCCTTGTGTTGGTGATTACATTCCTGATCGCAGACGTGGCACAGTCTGTCACAGTTTACTTTGGATGGGGTACCCAGTCCTGCCAAGCCCTCGCAATGTCGCAACCGTTCACAATTGGTCAAGATACCTTGGTTTGAACCCAGACTGCCATTGCACGAGTATGGTACTAGTCCAAAACTCCGATCTTTGGAATCTTGGATCATTTCTGCATCTTCTTATGCAGCTGAGTGTAATCACAACTGCTCTTAGGTAGAGAGCGGCCCAGTGTGTCGTTGATCGGTCCACCTCGAGGCGAATTACCGGGATGCTATCATAGACGGTCATGCCGGCATGCAGCACGGCGGGGGAGTGAATTTTCATCCTTTTTACTTGTTTACGATATGATCAGAACATCGGGATGGTCGATCGATCCTGGCCCGGCCGCTCTCTGCCCCGGAAGGAAGGGGTCACATGGCTGTCCGCCAGTCCACAACGACGATCACCACGGTGAACCCGCAAGCAGTGTGCTACACCCAGTGTCGCACTGAGGTATTCCTTGAAGTATCAGATCTGGTCTCTCAGGGCCGGTTGAAAACAAGGTTCTAAAGGGGTCCTTGCCGATGTAAGTGCACCGGGCGATGGACTCCATGCACGATAGCATGCCCTCGGTCGGACTCGTTCTTCGTGTCATCAATACCATAGCTGGCTTGCTTCAAACATGCGCAAATGGTGTTGTATTCGTAGCTTGATGCGTGCATGAAAGTGTAATCGACTGCATGGTCATGAGCAGCGGGTATGTAGCCCTGGGCCCTGAAGTCATCATGCCGGGTCTGGCTGAGGGAGTACGCAAGGCTGTGTACACCTGCACCGGACACACGGATCAAACTCCGCTACCAACGCTCCAAAACCCCATGTTCGAGGTCACAAAAGCCCAAGAGAGGGTTCGAAGACGCAGTGCAGGCGAACGGTACTTCGTCAAACGCGCATCTGGTCAGATTTTGGTAGATGCATTCAGCTGACAGCACGTGAGCAGCATGAAGCCATGAGCACCCAACTTTGTGCATTCAAGTCGGTTGGTAGGGCAACAAGAACAGCTACCTTCAGATACTCTCCATCATCATCCTTTCGGTAGCTTATTCTTGCGGGACTTCCATCCCATCCGAATACGTCGGTCATCCATCGGCGGCACTACAGGCTCCCCGGATTTGGCGGCTTCGACCGAACATTCCCATTCCGGTATGCAGGGGGGTGCACTGTACCTTTGCAGGGCCAACTTCAAGCGCATTGCACGCTCTGACGAATGAGATAATTTTGGGCAAACCATTTCCTCTCACCTCCCCAACCACAGCCAAAGCAGATTCTGTTGACCCCAGAGGTGGTCATTGAGTCCAGCAGTGAAGTACCAACCTCCCCAGTCTCTGCTCACGGAATCAGATGGTGAACACGCACACCAGCTTGGTAAGCGAGCATGCCGGCTTCATGCCATCCATGGTTGCGCCGTACCATCCCTGTGAGGTCCCCATCTCCTGCCATGCAGACCCTGGCCGTCTGGTTGATCATGACCGCGCTGGCCATGACGTGTCAGGCAGCCGAATACTGTGCCTGCCGGGACACTTCGAGCATCCAGTCCAGCGACGCCCCATCCGAAGCCGAACTCGAGAGCATCGCGCGAGCAAGGTTTCAAGTGCAGATCAACCAGATCAGGAACCTGAACTACTCTGGAGCAGGGGACTACGCGACGACAAACTCCATTTCCACGGTGCGGTGGTGCTGGCCGCCACATTCGATCTTGCCCGATCCCGCGTGGCCATGGAAGATTCGGTGGGAGTCGGCCTACCTCGAGCGACCTCGGATCCTGCATGACGGTGTAGCACTTGTTAAACCAGATTCGATTCATCTTGGCTGCATGCCAGCTCTCCCTAACGTCGCTGCCAACATCGCAGACTTCGACCGGGCCGGGCAAGAGCGGGCTGAATGACGGGTTCGTGAAGGCCAAGAATGGCGACCTCGTCCTCAACGACCGGAGGTGGTACGCCGCGGGAACGAATGCGTTCTACGCCGCCCAGGCCGACCTGCTCTCGCCCGATGACGTGACCTCCTTGATGGCAGTAAGGATCTGGGTTCTGTTCTCCTGAAGGGGCTGGTGTATGCAGCGTGTTGGAGAGCATTGGCAATGTGGGACAAGGCGTGCCACTCGTCTTGCACGTCCTCCCAGTAGGCTCTTCCAGCAAGTAATCATGCATGAATGGACCTCTAGCTTGATTCTGCATCTGCTCCGAGCAGTACACCGGCCAATATACACGGCGCTGTGTGTTGATAGAGTGATCAGAACAGGCTAAGCAACCATGCCGTCGATTTTCTCTGCGACTGACAATGCATCAACCACTCGTAACAGCAACCAATCCATGCTCCTCCTGCCGCCCAGGTGCACGCAATGAAGGGTGCAAATGTGCTCCGCGTGTTTGCCTTCAGCGACGGGTATGGAACCCAGCAGAACATCCTGACCCCCGTCCCCTTCCAGCCCCGCCTCGGCGAATACAACGAGGAGGCCCTCAAGAGGTGCTCAGGGGCGGTGCGCACTCAATGCTGAGGGAGCTGTTCTTGTTGCACAGAGTGATGCATCGCGACCTGCACCAATGATCCTCTTTTTCCCCACCATTGACGCAATGTAGGCTTGACTTTGTGCTCGCAGCGGCAGCTGCCAAGGGCATCCGCCTCGTCCTCACGCTCACCAACTACTGGCCGTTCTATGGAGGCCAGAGGGTATGTGCAGACTTTTACCATGGGTTGGAGGGGGGGGTTCTCGTAATAGAGTGCTGTGTATAACTCATGCACCCTGTCAATCTGCGCCGTGCATCCCCTCATGCATGTCACCATGCGCCTCTCGCTTCATCGGCGCCCAACCTCCTGCCACAGTTCTATGTGGATTCCGTCAAGGGCACTGGTGCTCCTCAGGAGCTGTTCTACACCGACCCAGAGATCCGCAAGTACTTCAAGGACTACATCACCAAGCTTGCCACACGCACCAACACCGTCACAGGTGGGGGTTGTGCGAACTGCCAGGCTCGCCGCATCGTGGGTGCCAGCGATGCGCTGAAGCTCGCGCTGCAGACTGCACTTAGGCTCCAAATCCAGATCCAAACTTTTTCCCTTCCAGGCCAGCGCTATGTGGATGACCCCACCATCCTCGCCTGGCAACTTGGAAACGAGGTGTGATGGGCGCGTTCGAAAATAAGCTCTGCAGATCTGGTTGCAAAGGTGTTGAGGGGGGGGGGGCGCGGATGCATGCCTTGCGACGCTCGGCCATCCTGCGTTTGCAGGCATGTTCCATCCTCCCCCGTCACATTCAGATCACTGCATCGTGGGGACCCCCCCTCCCAGATACATACCTTAAGCCTTTGACCCCCTTGCCCAACCGCAACCCCAGCCCCGCACCAGCAACGGCTACGACTCCAGCAACGGCCTTGCGCCAGGGGCTCTCATGACAGCCTGGACGCGCGAGATGAGCGCCCACATCAAGTCCCTGGATGGCAACCACATGGTCTCCACCGGGCACGAGGGATTCACCACCAACGGCGACTGCTGCAATGGGCACACCTGGCTCAACAATGGGCTCACCGGCACGGACTGGGTCGCATCCAACCTGGAGGACCCCAACGTGGACTTTGCCACCCTGCACGTCTACCCTGGTGAGCAGCAGGGAGCACAAGCGGGGTGTGGAGAGGAGAATAGTCGTACTTGTGAATGAATTGTGTGTGTTGCATTGCCAACCATTCCTGTCGATAATCTCCCTCCCCTACGGCCACGCTTATGGGGTGTGGAGCTGGAACAGCTCATTATAGTATTCGGGCGAGCCTCATGGCCCTCGCCCAATTAACACACATGCAGCAAGCTGGGGATTCACCCCCAACGACTACACCTGGCTGGGAGAGAACTACATTCGCTCTCGCGGGGAGCAAGCGCGCCGAGCTGGTATGGCACAGTGCGCTCAGCCGCAGGAGGGGGACAAAGGGGCTTTGCTGCATCCCTCTGGCTTTCCACCACAACCTTGGGGTGACAGCTGGAGTCATACTGTGGAGCATCATTCCGAGGCAATGACAGCCGCAATACTCCTCCCCCTGCAGGCAAACCCATTGTCCTTGAGGAGTACGGCATGGAGGAAGGTGGGCAAGGGATCAGCGCCCAAGGTTGGAGCCAGGCATTATAGTGGATGCTGTGGGGGCTGTGTCACCATGGCTGTCAGTGGCACTGCCACTGGAAATGCATGGACCTGTTCTTGGGAGGTTACAAACTGTATCTGACTCCCTGCGCACCAGGGTCCCAGCATGGGCCACCCCCCAAAGCCCATGTCAAGCTCCCTCTCGCACATGCCCGCAGGCTGGCTGTCCTCCAGGAACACTCTCTTCGACTTTGAGCTGAGCGAGGCGCGCGAGTCTGGGTTTGACGGCTCGCTGGTCTGGGCGGTGCTCCACCGTGAGGGATACCTCTCCGGCGTGACGACCAACTTCATCTTTGATTACAATGGTGATGGCGCCAGGGCAGTGCTGGACGAGTACCAGCGTGGGAAGGTGAGTTGGCGAGGTTGGACAGAGGAGAAAAGTATCCTGCAGAAGTTGGCCAGACGGGAGCGTCTGCATGCCGTGTGTGCCTGCCATTCGCCACCCATCCTTTTGCAAAAGAGGAACAGGAGACAAAACCCAAGATTGGATCTGAACCCCTGCCCCTTCATCACCGCAGAGCATAAACGCCTAGGAAGCTACCACATCACAATGCTGGGGTTTGGTGACAGCACAAGCGTCTTGTGCAGATGGTCTAATGCCATGGTGGATCCACTGGCTCGATGCACGTTCCTGATTTTATTTCATTTGCCATACGGATTCTCCAGAATTTTGGCCAAGTCCTTCTCCTGATCCAACCTGCCAGACACCTCGCCAAGCCCTGGGGTCTCAAACTCCCCCGTTTGACAGCCCGAGCAAGCCTTTGCATGATTGATCCCTGCCAGTCCTGGACTGACCTCTATCCCAGTACCTGTAACGAGAGTGTTTGGTTGAATCGTCCAGGCGATCCAGATAATAATTTGTCTTTGGGAGGGTCCGAACCCTGGCAGCTGGTTCTCCAAATCTTGCCTCAATTGTGTGTGCTATAGAAGTGACAACTTGCTGTCCCCCTGACAAATAACAAATGCTCGCCCCATGCTCCCTGCCTGCTTGGGTATAACTCAAGCGAATGTGACAAAGATTCGTGCTGCATCCAGCCCATTATGAGCTGACCTGCAGGCAAAAAGGACAGTGCCCCCAAAGTATCACGTGCATGCAAGGGGCGCACTATTCGCCTTTTTTTGCCTCTGCCGCTCGGCGCTTCCTAGCCTTGTACTGCAGTTCACGTCGCTTCATTTTTATCAAGAGGCCCGAGGCCGCCAGGAGGTAGTTCACCTGGGCGAGGGACCATGGAGGGAGCTTTAGGGTTAGGATGAAGGGAGCCAGAGTGCCACTCGATGGCAGCAGGAGGGCATCCATGACCAGAGATGTGAGCGTGCGTGCTGGATGCCACCCAACCTGCTTGGGAGTCCACAACTCACCAGAATGACAAACATGACCAAGAGGAGGGGAGCCGACAGGACTGCCGAGAGGAAGATGCCGTGAGCATCGAAGTAGTTCTGCGAGGAGAAGCGCTGCCAGTGGGAAGCCGCCAGGCCATTGAGCCTCTCAGCAAAGTACACCAGGGGTGCTGTGTGAGTGGTTGGGAGGGGGGCCGCAGGGGTGAAAAGTCATGGGCGAGTGGCCCGGAACCAGCATTCGACTGCATGCAACAGCAGGGTGTCTCATTGACTGATCTGGTGAGGTAGCAAGCGTAATGCCCAATCTACCCACCAGCAATGAAGAAGATGATGGCCTGCACAGCCACGTTGTGTCGCAGGAGGATGGCTGCCAGGAGGAGCATGCCATGGACCGCCAGGAGCCCTTGCAGCCAGCGCTCCTCCTGTGAGTTTCGAGCAGGAGGGCTGGTGACCTGCCCATGACATCCCTGGAGCGGGGCAGCCTCGAGAAAATGGATTGGATGATCAAGGAATGCCTCAGCACCCGTGCAGTCCTTGCGAGGGAACGCCCACCACCAATCCCTCACCTTCCAGTCTACTGCGGCAACGAATGCCTTGAACGAGTCCAGCACGCCAGGACCACCACTCAGCTGCGACCACTTGGTACGAACATCGCTCAGAATTTCATCGGCCAGGTGTGCGAATTGAGGAGGGATGGCTTGCCGCCAGTCCTCAGCCATGGCACCAAGATCACTACAATGTCGACGTCAATGAGAGGTTGTCAGATACGATGTAGAGCGCAGGCAATAAAATCTGTAAGTGTGGAAGGTAGCACCTGGCATGTCAACGAAAGCATTCTGCGATCGATGGGCTGGACAGTGATTTATTTACTTGCGGACGGTGATTCTCGGAGATCGAAATGAGCATGTCTGTACCTCGCATCGGATGATCCTACCAGATGTAGTAAGACCCCTAGGCCTCACAGCTACGCTGATCAACATACCAGCTCCAGTACAGCGGTGTTTCCTTCAAGGTGCTCGATTGTCGGGTGCTTTGGTGTCGGGGAGGATGGCGCCCAAACGCAAAGCTACAGCGGTGAAGCCCGTCAAGGACAATCCAGAGATATCAGGCGGCGATGAGGATGTAAAACCCAAGAAGAAGAACCCGAGCCGCGCTCCAAAGACAGGCATGCGTGTGCCTGGGATGCTTGCTGCAGTGGACTGGGCTGTTACAGGACACCTTGACATCCTGGCACTGACTACACCATGCAGAGGGCTCTCCAAGCAAGTCGGCCTCGCGACCGAAGCAGCCAGCTCTCACAGAGCCGACCGCCACTGAGGATGGTTGGACGCTGCATCCCCCTAGCCTCATTTACAAGTGAGCGCATTGAGATCAGAGGAGGAGGCATGGTGGCTTTCCCAAGGTCACACCTGATGCAGACCTGTCCCAAATTCATTCCGATGCATGTTCGCCCCCTCACTGTCACTACAGGGCTGTGCCTGCAGCCCAGGGCTCCAAGAAGATTGCAGCTTTTGATCTTGTGAGCATCTGGGATAGAGGGATGTGGAGAAGGAGCCACTGCGGGACATTCAGGCCAACCTGTAGAGATGCACACTGAGTGCGTGGCTGCCTTACCCAAACGCCTTCCATGCTCGCCGCCATGCCTCCAGCTCAATACCCTCACCTCCCTCAGGATGGCACCTTGGTGCATGTCAAGAGTCGTGCTCGATTTGCCCTGGATGCAGACGACTGGAAGTGGTTCAACAAGAGGGTGAGGTGGTGGGGTGAGATGAGAGGTGGTGGAGGGCGTCCAGGTGGGCTGGGGAGCTGAGGTTGGCCTGGGCCGTGGCACAGCCAGCAGAACATGCCAGCAGGTGGTACTTGGTGGTGTGTCAGGCTGCCCGCCCATGTATGGTTGCACCATGACATGGCATGACTAAACCCCGCCGTCCAGGCCTCCCTCCTGATGAAGTACATCCTGACACATGCGCATGGCTCATTACTCACAGGTGCCGACCGAGTTGCGGCGACTAGCTGAGGAGGAGGGCTACCAGCTTGTGATCTTCTCGTGAGACGGATTGTTTTTGTAGTTGGATCCTAGGCACTGCCTTGGACAGCTTCCCGAGTTCCCTGTGCTGATGTGATTGATCGACGCGAACCTCACAACCCTCGTGCAGTACCATCTCTATTCATCCATGCCCTATGCCACCTCCCTGCAAACACGCAGGAACCAAGGAGGCATCCGGAGTGCCCTCACAGGGGCCGGGGCAGTAAAGACCCGGGGCCGAGTGGACAATGTCCTTGCCGCCCTGACTGGAAAGGACGGCCCCCTCCATGCTCAGGTGGGGCTTCAGAATCTCGTGTCGTCTTGACTCACTCGGGGTCTTGACGCTGGGTACAGGCACCTCCTTTGCGCCCAATGGGTGGACTGAGGTGCAGCACACCCTGCATGCAGCCCATGCCAGCCAGGGAGTGCACTCACTGGGGATTCCACCAAGACCCTCATGCTGCGTGGCTATCCCTGCCACCAGGTCTTCATGTCCACACTCCCTGACGATCTGAGGAAGCCCGGCACCGGCATGTGGGACTTCTTCACAGAGCACTGCAATGCCGGTGTTAAACCAGGTGGGGAGGGAAGAGGATCGAGCCAAGCCCTTGGTCTTTTGAGGAAGAGGGTGCCGTGCATGTGCATGTCTTGCTTTCGATGCTGCCGCTGTGGACACCTTGGAGGCTTGTCGGCTTTGAAGCTGTTTGCCCTGGGATAAGACCGCATGTTGGATTCTCCCAGAAGAGAGGCTGGTTGCACATTCAGACCCTGATGCCTCCCCTCGCTATCACAGACTTGTCACAGTCGTTCTATGTCGGCGACATGGCTGGGCGCGTGGGTGACATCCAGGGGACAAACAACCCCACCCCCTCTGACACTGACAAGTGAGATGGAAAGTAGTGGTCGCTCTGGGTGTTGCACCGGTCGACAACGCTCATGGAAGGGGCCTGCAAGGCTGGTGTATTGTCGGAGGAGTGTCCCGTCCTGCTCTGTGTCCCAACCTTTGGTCACACTCCCATCCCCCGCAGGGGCTTTGCGGAGGCCATTGGCATAGCCTTCAAGACACCAGAAGAAGTGTTCGGGTGAGTGGTGTTGCGTGTGGCCGCTTGCCTGCCGACTGGCTCATGGAACGATTCCCTTGGGAGGCGCCTTCGGCAGCCCACTGCATGTGCTTGCGCCACAACCAAGACACAATCTCAACCTGGGCCGGCCCAGGGAGGGTGAGGCGAAGAAGGAGGTGGTGTTTGAGGGCTCTTCAGGCAAGAACGACGACCTGGCGGATGCCTTCCAGACCCTGACCGATCACTTTCGGAGATGTAAGGGGTGGCATGGTGGGCAGGTGCAGAGGCATCCACCCTCCTGAATCTCAAGTGAGTGCCTGCACCTGGCATCCAAATCTGAGGTCGACGTGCCTGCACCCAACCATCCCCATCCACACCTTGCTCGACTCGCAGTGGGCGATGGCTTCAAGGCCAACGCCTTTGCAAAGGTCCAAAAGGTCTTGGCGGGCTGGCCCACCAAGATCACATCCTCCAAGGACCTCAAGGGCGTGGCTGGGGTGGGGAAGGGCTCTGCAGCCAAGGCAAGCCGGGGGTGTTTCTGCAGAGATCTGGGGTGAAGAGGGGAGAGATCAGGTTTGGGCCGGGAGACTCTTGACCTACAGGAATGACACTCGTGTACTCGCCACACCATGCCTCACACCACCCCGGCCAGATCGACGAGTTTCTGGAGACAGGGAAGTTTGCGGTTCTAGAAGAACAGGGCGGTGAAGCAGCCCAGCTCCCATCCAAGGCCGCTGCGGATGCTGCACCGTTCCTGAATATTTAGTTGGGTGCATGACAGACCTCACGAACATCAGCCTGTCTCCCACTGTGTCACTAATGGGCAGTTCTAGTGCTCCTGACAAGCACAAATGAGTGGAAGTACATGAGGGGATGAGAGCAACAAAATCCATCAGGGACGTGAAGAAACATGGCACGACGGACCTATGCTGGCCTCAAGCCTCACTCCAGCCTGCACGGGCGTCATCGGATGGCAAACCTCCGCACCGCCTCCTCCGCTACAAAGTCGCAGGTTGGCACCAGATCTGCGACTGGGATGGCAGTTGGGTGGGTGGGGCGGGCGACCTGACACTCTCATGGGTTCTCGTAAGCCCACACCCACAGCCGTGTGCATCTTAAGGGACACTCCCAGAATATCCAGCATGCCCAATGCTCACCGGCGTTCCCTCACAGGACCCCATACCACACCGTCACGCCACAGTCCCACTCTCAGACACCTCCTCACCCTTCAGCCCACGGAGGTCGGTCACCGGAAACCAGCGTGCATCGGCGGCGTCGTCCCCAGGTACGACTGCGGCCTCCGGGTTCTCCGGCACCCCCGCCACATTGACGATGGCATAGTGGAAGGCCAGGGCCCCCGCATCATCGTATGTAATCGCATCGCCGGCGATGAAGGATGAGGGATACGCCAGGTCCGGGCTCAAGGGAGGGTGACGGGCGTCGGGCTGGCCGTGCTCCGCCTGCGGCAGCCGGCATCTCAGCCTCAGCCCAGTCTCCTCCAGCGTCTCCCGCACTGCGCACTGCACCAGCGTCTCCCCCAGCTCGAGGCTGCCTCCAGGGAAACACCAGTCCCCTGGGGCAGGAAGGGACAGGGAGGGGGACCGGGCGTGCAGGACAGTGCGTCTGTAGCTCTTCCGCAGGAGGCGCTGAGTTGTGGCCCTCGCATCTGCATGTCAGACCCCCCACAGCAATGCCACAGGGGCTCATGCAACCATGCCACCCACTCACCTTTGTTGGGGGCCTTTGCGCGCCTTATGAGCAGGGTCTCGGGGTTTCCAGGGCTCAGCTCCCTCAGTACAACCACGCCGACGCCTACCCGGGGCTCTGTGGGGTAGGCCCGCGACACAGACGCGCTGAGATCCGCATGTGATCGGCAGGTCCATGCCTGTTTCGCTGGGCCAGCTGATGATGCGCACAAGCTCCTGCCGAGCCCCACAAGCGTCATGGCGATCCGCATTTTTGGTCAGAGAAACTATTTGAATGCATGGTATTGATGTAGTCCACATCCTATCTCAGACGATGGTTGTCTTTGTTTATTTTTGGCCTCCTGGGGGATTGCGCGCGCCAGCGCTTAAGGAGGGAGTGCAACTTATCTGCCTTGGCCATACACTTTGCTCAGTGGGGGAGAAGACCATTTCTCAGCCGGTGCTCTATCCTTCCCTCATCCCGGGCAATAGCAGAGAAGGTATCTTCAAGGTATAGTACATGCAGTCGAGGTGAGAGGCTCCATTCTGTGCAGCCAAACATGTCGGGGGATGAAGGACCCCAACTGCGGATCACGATGCCCATCACCGCACAGCCGCCGACACGCCCTGGTCTGCAGCGGCAATCTGCCCAGCAGCCGCGGCATCGGAGCTTTCCTGACTGGCAGCCACGGTGGTCGAGGCCTCCTGCCCGGCAGCAGCGGCAGTGCCAGAGGCCTCCTGTCCGGCAGCCGTGGCTTCCAGCACCATACCAGCCTCTTGGCCCTCCGCACTCGCTTGTCCAGCCTCACCCGGCTTTGAAGGCTCGGTCTGCTCCCTTTCCCCAGCCGCCGCGACCACGCCGTCCCCGGCGGCCGCGTCATGGCCCGTCTCCGACACCACGATCTCCTCCTGCGCCGCGGCGGCGAGGCCCGCCGCCGTCCCCGCCACCGTCTCCTTTGCCGCCGCCGCCGCCAGGGCCTCGGTCTCGGCCTCGGTCTCGGCCATGGCGCCCGCCGCCACGGCCGCCTGCGCGCCGGCCTTGGTCTTGTCCATGGCGAGGCGGTGCGCCTGGTCCTCCAGCGACTCGGCGCTTTCACTGCCACCCCCCGCCGCGCCCGTCCCGGTCCCATTGGCTGCGGCCGCCGCCGTCCCGACGTCGGGGAGTTTCTGTGCGGCGACCGCCGCGGCGGCCGCCGCGACCCTGGCCGCGGCCTCTGCGGCGGCCGCCGCTTCCGCAGCGGGCCTCTCCCTCTCCTCCTTGTGGTGCAACAGCTCCTGATACACCTGGAGTCAGCGGAGGAAGGGCAGGGACTTCATCGGGATGAGGGGGCGGCGGAAGCGCAGGGCTTTGCGAGGATCGTTTGCAGGGCTGTTCCCTCAATCCACCGCCCCGCATACCATCTGCTGCATGCTCATACCCCACAGCACTCCCCCCACCCCTGTCACCCCGCTCCGCCAGCGGGCGGTGAGGAACCTGGCGAAGCGGGTTCCAGCGGCACCACCAGCCCGCCACGGAGCTTTCTACTCCTGAACGACTACGAAGACCCCCCCTCCCACTCATAATCCCGCCCCCCCCCCCTTCCACACATACACATCCACTCCCATGCTCGCCTCGTACAGGGTGGTGATGGCCTTGATGAAGGAGGCGGCGTCGTCCAGCGCCGCAAACGACCTGGACCGGATGTGCAGGGAGACCATGGCCCCCAGCTGGCGCTCACAGGCCTCGTCGCAGGTGGTGACCCAGTGCCGGTCCGCGCCCTCCCGGTGCCCGTCAATGTAGGCGGCCAGCAGGCGCATGGCCCCCAGCCGGTCCTCGGGCCCCGGGTCAAAGGCGTGCACGCCCTCCATGAACACGGACAGCCCCGGGTCGGTGACAAAGTAGCCGGCCTGCCAGAGGCAGATGGAGATGAAGGCGTCGCCGCCGGTGGACTGCAGGCTCAGGGAGCAAGCCTCCATGAAGTCCAGGCCCACCGCGCGGAGGAGGCCGGCGGAGAGCACCGCCCCCGCGCCGCCGTGCATGGAAAAGGTGTTGGCGGGGTGGCGCGGGATGTCGCAGTGCGCGTTGAACACGCGCGGCGCCGCGGCGCAGAGCAGCTGCGGGGTGCAGGGGCAGCCGCGCGGCGCAGGGAAGGAGCGGCGCCGGCGCGCATACAGCGCCTCGTCGAAGTGGCAGGGCAGGCAGCGCGGGGCCTGGGGATGGGGGTGCGTCGCCGGTCCCGTGCCGTTGGCGTACCAGAGGTGGTCTGCGCAGGTGGGTTGCATGATGGTCGATTTGAGAGCCTGGAACCGCAGGCAGGGAAAGGGCGCACAGGGGAGCATGCACCTCAGGGCCATGATTCATGCAAGATCCTGGCGAGGCAGGGAGGGCCACAGAACAATGTGCGCGCCCACTGGGCCCCATCAGCACCTTCCCAACCCCTGCTTGATAGCAACTCTGGCACCCACCGGTGATGAAGTAGGGAATGGCGGGATCAAAGTCGCGCAGGAGGTGGAGGAGGGCGGGGGGGAAGAAGACGGTGTCGTCGTCCATGTACAGGAGCCAGCTGTAGGTGTCGCCAAAGTGGGCGTGGGCCAGGAAGGGCACCAGGCCTGCCCGTGTGTCCCCAGCATACATGGACCTGTCGAGCGGCATGTTGGAGTATGTGTGTGTACTTGAGGTCTATGCATATGCCAGAGGAGCGGATCATTGGGTCAGTCAGAGTAGCTTTGGTACCGAGGCCCTCCTCTCCTGGAACAGAACTGCTCCAGCGCAAATACACCAAACTCAGCGAGTGTCCCACCTCCGCGGCTTGTCATCCGGGTAGTAGGCCCAGGTCTCGTTGTGCAGGAGGCCCTCCGCCACAACCTCGGGGGTGGGAGGGGTGTTGCCAGCGATGTAGGTCCGGATGACACCCTGCGCAATGGTGAGAACTGTTCGGTGCGCAGAGATACTGTGTGGTGCCTCGGACAAGTTACAGTGATTGCGTTCAATCCGTAAAGGCACCATACTGGTCGGGTTCGACGTGCTGGGCATGCTTGTAGACACTACCTCCCGACCTTCGGGAGCCCTTTCCCACTCCCCTTAATCAGCACAGCCATCCTCCAAGGGCCCACCCGCCATTGCCTCTGCATCTCCCTTTCCCAACTCTCATCCAACCTTGCGCCAGATGCGGCTTGCGCGAGCCACGTCCATGTGGTCCACATCACCAGGAAGGGCCGCAACGATGTCGTGCACGGATACCGGGAACCGGCTTAATCGTGCATCGCCGGTCTGGGCGCTGCCGCTGCCAAAAAGCAGGGTGACGACAGCCAGGAGGAGAGAGGCTTGGAAATGCATGCCCTGTCTTGCCATGGTGTTGAGAGTTCAAACTTCAACTCGGTGATACTCCTGGCTGAGATTGTGGAGACATGGGAGCAGGTCGAGAGGAAAAGGCCCCTTGCAAACTCGTCGAGCGCCGCTCGCCCTCGTTCGCGGCAGGAGGTCCAGGGAGTCTGCGAGGATTAGACGAGCAATAGCATCAAGTTATACCAAGTTTTGCTTGTGGATCGCGTTCGATGTCTCTCAGGATCCTGCAGCAGCGCTCTCGAACCGATCCAACATCTCGAGCAGAATGCTGCGCCTGCTCTGTTCGGACGTGCACTTTCCCGTCTTCGCAGAAATGCATCCGTTCAGCCGTTTGGCTGCATCGAGTATATGTGAAATTTTGATCTAAGAAACCCTCTCGGCCACCCGGCGTGTTGATCTGCTTCAGCTGTAGGACTCGACTCTTCCACTGTAGGGAGACTGCCACTTCAGTGCTAGAACCTCTCCGAATAGGGGCCCTTTGCATGTGCACATACTAGAACGCCCTTCTAGATTCGATCATGTCCACACTCGCGAGGGTCGTGCGTCAGGTGGGGGTTGGCAAGTTCAGTGACACGTTTCCACACTCCCTGGGCATTATGTGGTTGCCCATTCCCTTCCATTTCCATCCTCAATTATAGATATGGCACCGCTGGCGGACAGCCCCTGCACAGGAGATGGTGCGCGTCATCTGTCGGGAAGTGCTGTATGCTGCAATCTCCCTGTCATCAGGTCACCCCATAGCATCCCTTACACAGCAAGAGAGCTGATTCCCTCGTGTCCTCAAAGATGGCCTCCTCCCATGATTAACACCAGTCCCTACCAACATCACGCCATGCAGGAGGCTGCTCAGCTGGAGGCTCTGCGGCAGCACCTGCTGATGCAGAAGGCCCAGCTGGAGGAGCTGCAGCGGATGAAGGACCAGTTTGCCGAGCATGAGAGGGCCCAGCTGAAGGCCATGCTGGGTGGAATGCTGGCGCAGCAGCGCCAAGATCATGCGGTGGGTGTCGAAAGGTGCTCTCAGCTGTGGTCTTGTCTCCCAGAGATCTCAAGCTGCAGGGAGGTGTTGGCTGATTGTCTGGCGGCGAGGTTCCAACCTTCCCTTCCGATGATCTCAGGATGTTCAGGCTACCTGCGGGAGTCATTCTGAAGGGCCGGGTCAGGGTACGGCTGGCGGCACGCCTGGCCCTGAGAACAGAGAGGGCCCCAGTGCTAGTCCCTCGGGCAGCCCTGAGCCGGAACGTGTGATGGACCGAGAGGTGAATGCCCTGATGGACATCCTTGGGGCACGGAGCTTCACAATCCTGGAAGAGGCAGAGGACGTTGCAATGGAGATGAGGCAAAAGGACATGGATGCAGCAGGGGAAGAGCCTCCGTAATTCCCTGCCATCTTCCCAACTGTGCGTTCTGTGCAATGTGGTATGCGCACGCTGAGTTGGCACTTGCTCTCTCAACATGCGGCGCTGCAACTGGGTGCCAGCGTGACTTGCACCCCTTGACTAGTGTTCAAGGGCCCTTGCTGCCAGGGCTGAGCACACCCACACTTCCGGCACTTGACAAGACTTAACAAGCTGCACATGCTACAACAAGACTCTCAAGCTCACGTATTTCAGTTCCTGGGTGTGGAGCACCCTGGGAAGGGGTGGCGCCCAGTCAACATACACACACTAGACCTCTGACATCTCTCATCCTTCTTCGGCAATCCTCCTGCCAAGGCAAGCGCCCGCAGCTGCGTCCAGGCACTCGTTCAGGCGCTCCTCGCCTGACGCTTGGCCTCCTCTACCTCGCGCACCTTCTCCCAGGGCGGGAAGAAGTAGGACTCATCAAAGTCCACCTCCTCCCCCTCGAACTTAGCCTGTGTGTTTTGGGGACAGTTGGAAGAAGTAGGAATGATAGAAGGATGTTTAAGAGCTAGCATAAAGGATACAGCTGGCAGGGTAGAGGCACCATTCCAAGTGCAGTGCCTTATCCAGCCGCAATTCGTAGGTGCCTGGAACTGGAGTGCAACCCAGCAGCGAGTGCACTCCCATCAGCACGCCACAGCAGTGCCCTCACCTTGCCAGTGTAGACGAGGTCAAAATTGTAGATGAGCAGGTCCACCTCATCATCATGGTTGGCGATGTTGTGCTGGTTGCGTCGCGCCCGGTTGACGAAGAAGTTGCCGACCTCCTGTCACCATGGATTTGGTTGAGTGGCATGAGAACCCAGCAAGGGAACAGCAGGTGAAGTGAAGTGGATTAGATTAGGAAGCTAAATTGCTGGAACTCAATAGGGAGTCTCACCCACACGTTCAGACCTGTGTGATGACGATGGCCTCTGGGTTATGTGGGATGTCCTTGTCAAGCGTCCATTCGTAGGCATTTTTCTCTGGGTGCCTGCGTGTCATGTAGGTAGTAGATGGCACTTGCATGGCGATGGGGTATGAAGCTGGAGAGGTTGTATGCCCAGAGCGGAAGCAATGCGCGACACAGGGGAGAAGGTGTCAACCATTCAGTCACGTCGTGAGGACCTTCAAAACCTGCCGCCTGCGCACCACTGGGTGGCGGTGATTGGGTAGTCTATGGCCTCCATGGTACTGACATAGGTTCGGCCACCCCGGTCGATGGACAGCGTGAGCACGTCAAAGAAATCCACCAGGGTGGGATTCTCGGCAATGGCAGTCCATGCCAGCCCTGCCATCGGATGATGAAAGGCTTCGAGGATGGGCAAAGGACAAACGTGCAAAGAGGGCCTTGCAGCGGGGCTGCACGTACTGTGCAAATCCAAAGGCCAGAGAAGAACTTGCTTTCCCCCTGCACATACCATTGACGTGGTTCTCCATGGCGTAGGGCTTGGTCAGCAGGTTCTCATACACTTTGTGCGGCAGCACAGAGAAAAACTCACTGCAGTGATGGGAGAAATAGAAGTCAGTGAGCAGAGAGCCGTACGTGAGGATCACTGTTTCTACGACAGGCATACAGCAACGTCAACAAGAAGGTAAACATCAAGCCCACCTCTTCTCTGCCTTGTCAGTGGGGAACAAGGGCGAGGGCAGGTTCTCGGCGTCAAACTCTGAGAGAATGCTGTGGTTCTTGGAGGCAATCACGGCAAGGGTCTCGAACCCAAGGCAGGTACCATGCAGCTGCATGGTAAGGAAGATGGGGGGACTGCTCAGATACAAGAATTTTCTAGGTGTACTGCAGAGGCAGTTTCGGGGCATCGAACAGGGCTATGCATCTCAGCCAACCATGGATGGGAGAGCGGGAAGTCTGTCAAACACTCCATCCCACCGTGCCGTTCATCCTTCAGATATCTTCTTACAGGGAAGAAGTCGCCATGGTCGTTGGCCTTCAGTGTGAGTTCAAAGATCTTGGAGGTGACATCATAGAAACCATGGCCAGGCCGCAGGACCTGAGAACCACCAGGCACAAGAATACCATTCACGAGCTTGAATCTGTGTGTCGGGGGGAGGGTGTTGGGAGAATGAGCCGGTCAGCTTCAGCTCTGCCCTTGCGTCTGCAGCCGGACTTTCAGTCTGATGAGTCGAGCAATCCGAAAACATGCCGAGACGGTGCGATTCCGAGACGACGCGCAGCGCGAGGAACCAGCCCCATCCACTCACCGGCGCTCCACCTCCTCGGGGGGCATGTCGGCCAGAATCGGAATCACACGGGCTCCTGCAGCTTCCAAGAACTTGATGTAGGAGGCCGCGATGTAGGTGTGGCCCTTGGGTGCAGGATCCCCCTCCTGCACATATATGCCGTTGCGAGAAAAGTTCGACACGCTCTGCAAAATCTCGAACAGCGATCCCCAGTCACAAGAAAGATATGGGCGGTCGTTTGACGGGCAAACTCGAGCCAGAGCCTCCTGCCCACCTGGGAGACAACCCCAATGATAGGACGCATGTTTGTGCGCTCCTTGTCAGTCTGCTTGTCGCGCTTCCGCTTGTAGAGCATGGAGCTCATCCCGCGTGCCTCCCCGCTGTTTGGCCGGATGGCCAGGGCGGAGAGCGCCCCCAGCAAGACAACGAGGATAGCCCTGCGGAGAGCCATCCCGTCGCGACCCAAAGTCCGCTGCCGAAGGTTACACCGGGTGGCAGAGCGCCCCACCCCAGGATTTAACGAGCAAAAAAATTCTCAGATGTCGAATTAGGAACCAGCAAGAAACCCAGGTCGAAAGGCCGCCCGCTGCCTCCCAAAGGAATCATTTGTGGGATGGGGCAGCTCCCGCCATGCGAGCGAATTTTCAAAGCGGTGCACGCAGGGAACCTGGCGCGGAGACCTGCGGCTCGCCCCATGCTGGTTCCTGTCCCAAGGGTGTACAAGGCTACTAATTAGCCAGTCCTGGAGCAGATCTGACGGCCTGGGCATCAGCGAGGGTTCACAGCGTTGCTAGAACGCATCTCACACGTGGTGGTGCAAGTGCTCGAGACCTCGCTCACGGCTCCTGAGACGCACGCCCCCCTTCCGGAGCAGCATGCCGCGCGAGATAATCACGCTGCAAGTTGGTCAATGCGGCAATCAGGTGCGTGGCGGGTGCTGGGGCTCGCACACTGCATAGGCTGTGGACCACTCCCCGACCGGCACCCACCGGAACGCATCGTGGCCCCGTGCCCCCAGGTGGGCACCGAGTTCTGGAGGAAGCTGTGTCTGGAGCACGGCATCAACAATGACGGCATTCTCCAGGACTACGCCGCGGCCGGCGACACCGGTGACAGGAAGGACGTGTTCTTCTACCAAGCTGACGACGAGCGCTACATCCCCCGCGCCTGCCTGATCGACCTGGAGCCCAGGTCTGAGATGGACGATCATTTCAGAGGGCTGTTGGCATTTATTGAACATGATCCCCCGAGGGCGCAGCAGGCCCTCAGGATGCTGCGCTGCTGCTGCAACCCCCTGACCCGGCTCCATGGGCTGTAGCACACACCAAGCCCTGCCCCACTCAGCGCATCTGAAGCCCCCCCCGCGCTCCTCAACACCCCCTCCCGCCAACCCCAGGGTAATCAACGGCATCCAGAACTCAGAGGTGCGCAACCTGTTCAACCCGGAGAACATCTTCCTGTCCGACCACGGAGGCGGCGCGGGCAACAACTGGGCCTCGGGGTACCACCAAGGCGAATCGGTGCAGGACGACATCCTGGACATGGTGGACCGCGAGCTGGGCTACTCCGACTCGTTGGAGGGCTTCACCCTCTGCCACTCCATCGCGGGTGGCACCGGCTCCGGCATGGGCTCCTACCTGCTGGAGGCCCTGAACGACCGCTACCCGCGCAAGCTGGTCCAGACCTACTCCGTGTTTCCAAACCAGTCAGAGAGCAGCGACGTGGTGGTGCAGCCCTACAACTCCCTGCTCACGCTCAAGCGCCTGACCTTGAATGCCGGTGCGCGCCCCGGGCAGCATCCCTTGCAGGCTTCCGCTGTGAAGCAGCATGCACTCCCATCCACCCGCTGTCTCCAACACCCCAAACCCCTCTCTTCCTCACCCACCAGACGCGGTGACGGTGCTGGACAACACGGCGCTCAACCGCCTGGCAACCGAGCGACTGCACATCCCTAATCCCTCCTTCTCTCACACCAACAGCCTGGTGTCGACCGTCATGGCAGCCAGCACCGCCACACTGCGATACCCAGGCATCGGCAGTGGGGAGGGGGGGAGCGGCGGGGAGTGGAGAGGCTGGGAATGGAGCGACACACGTCGGAGGATGCACTGCAGGGGTCATCAAAGGCCCCCACCGCCGCAACTGGCCGCGCTGTCCCCACCTTGTATTGACTGCCTCTCGTGCTCATGCTTTGATGTGGGCCTCCATGCGCGTGCATGCTCCCCACGGTGCTCACTTCCCCCTCTTTCCCGGAACAACCCTCTGCAGGCTACATGAACAACGACCTTGTGGGCCTGCTGGCCTCCCTCATCCCCATCCCGCAGTGCCACTTCCTCATGGCCGGTGCGTGGGAGGGGGCCAGGGCAGGGGGGGGCAATCGCCGCAGCCTGCGCGTTTCAGGCAGCTGGGGCCGGGGAGTGGGGATCGCTGTGCGGGGAGGGAAACCCAGACCGACGCCTCCTCCCCAATGCCACGTGCTCTCGGACATCATGCCCAGGTTACACCCCCGTGACCCTGGACAGCGAGGAAAGCAGGGCGGCGGCCATCGTCAGGAAGACCACGGTGCTGGATGTCATGCGCCGGCTACTCCAGGCATGGATCTCGATGGTGGTTTGGGGATGAACTGGAGGGAAGAGCGCCGGATTGCGGCTGAGCTTGGGACATCAGCAGCCCGTTTTGCGAGTTGGTGGCTGCAGAAGGGACATCTGGGCTGCAGTGGATGTGGAATTGCAAGATTCCCTGGGGTCCATTCCCACCTTCCCTCCCTCGACACCCACAGCCCAAGAACCTCATGGTGTCCACGCCCTCGCGTGCCAAGGGCCTTGACCAGTCCAAGTACATCTCCATCCTGAACATCATCCAGGTGTGTTGGAAAGGGGGAGGTGGGGGGTGAGCGGGATGATGGGGAGGAAGGCATGCAGGAAAAGAGGGATTGGGTGCGCAGGCTCATCTGCCAGGGGATGCCAGTGACGGCACCTTGCATGGGCGCCCCGTCTCCTGTGATGAATTTGCGTGCCTGTCGCTGCGTGGCGTGCCTGCCCGTCAGGCCGCTGCGGCGTAGCCCGTCGGCACGCAAGAGCCCAAACTCGAGCACAGGTGAAGCCACAGGCTCAGCATTTCCGTGCTTTCCTCACCATGCAGGGCGACGTGGACCCCACCCAGCTCCACCAGTCCCTGATGCGCATCCGGGAGCGGCGGCTGGCCAACTTCATCGAGTGGGGCCCCGCCTCCATCCAGGTGCTGGGAGGGAGGCTGAGATGCACAGGGCCGGAATTCCAGGATGCTCTGGCAGCGTGGCCTGTCCGGGGACACCACTGCCACCCTCTCAGCAGTGGCAAGGTACATGGAAAGGCATGCCCCTATTCTAAGGAAAAGCAACTCCTAACACCCCCCGCCAGGTGGCGCTGTCCCGCAAGTCGCCGTACACCAAGTCGGGGCACCGGGTGTCGGGCCTGATGCTGGCAAACCACACCTCCATCCGCCACCTGTTCAACCGCACCATCTCCCAGTTCGACAAGCTCTTCCAGCGCAAGGCCTTCGTGGACAACTACAAGGTGGGGTGGGAGAGGGTTTATTGGCGCTTGTTGGGGGACCACGAGTGCCAATCTGCAGAGCCGCTGTCATTCGAGCTGGCGCTTTGGAGGCTGATGCTTCGGGTGAGGCTGGCGAGGAGCGCTGCCCTCACGCCGCACACTGATCTCCCCATCCCCCCATCCCACCCTTCTGCATCCCATTCCCATTCTCCCCTGCCCCCCGCGCAGGAATTCCCCATGTTCCATCGGTCCAGCGGGTCTGGCATCGAGCTGAGCCTGGATGAGTTCCTGGACGCGCGGGAGGTGGTCCAGGGCATGAGCGACGAGTACGCGGCCGCGGAGAGCGCCGATTATGTGAGTTTGTGGTGCTGTTCGCTGGGTGAGGGGCGGTGTGCAGGTCCGAGGCACTGTGTGGTGTGCTGGTCTGGCCGGCCAGTAGACCGAATGACTCGACCGAGGTGCAGCATGTGCAGAGCATTGTCCGACATCGAGGGCCCATCATCCGTCGCCCATCCCACAGATCGAGAGGGCGGGAGGAGAGGACGCGCTCTCCGGCCAACTCGCCGCTCAGATGAGTCTTGGCACGGACCCGCGGGTGCCGGTGCAGTGACGCGGTGTGATGCCATGGATCCCTCTTCCCGGTCCTTGACTTTGTGTGCTCTTCTTGACTTGCTCTCGCTCTGGTCTGCCACCATTCATGCTACAGGATCGTGTAAACTGCCGTCCCTCGTACACCAAGGTACTCCACACATTGGGGTTCGCAGGGCGCTGGCGCCCCGGCAGGAACTCTCAGCCATGACGCATGTATGTGATCGCGACCCACTTCCCGCACGACACCCAGGACCATTGCTTTGAAGCCTCCACATCACAGCAATGTTTGCATGCACGGCACCAGCTCCCATCCTCGTGCCGATACGGTCGCACGCTGGAGGGTGCTCTGCTGGATCCCCCGGTTCCGTGCCGCGAGTTCGTCCGCTCAGGCGTGATCTGCGAGCTGGGTGCAGGGAAATTCCTGTACATTCCCGATCTCTGTCCGTGCAGGCCTCTGCATCAGAGGCCAGGACCCACGCGGAGCGTCAGGCGTCCTTCTTCTCGTCGCGGGTGCAGGATTTGAGGGACGGCATCACCCCCGAGATCGATGCCCGCCTGCACACGATAGCCGGCTCGGTGCCTGGCCTGGGGCCTGCCAGCCGAGTGCTGGATGCTGGGTGTGGGACCGGGGCCCTGATTCCCCACCTGCAAGCCCTGGGCATCCAAGACATTCTGGCTGTGGACACCTGCCCTGCCATGCTGGCTCAGGTGGAGGCACGGTTCGGGCAGGGTGACAGCCTGGGCAATGTGCCCTGTGTGCGCACATGGCCGGGAGACGTGGCAGAGCTTCCTCTGTACCAGGTGATAGCATGTCCTGGGGGATGGGCAGGTGATTGAGGAGGCCCTTGTTGCGCACGAAGCACCTGCTCTGAGATTTGTCGATGCAGTCTGATCAGTCCCCTAAGATCGTCGCAGGGCCCGTTTTCCGCCGTTTTCTTCAACGCCGTCTTCGGAAACCTGTACGACCAGCATGCCGCGCTGCTGCAGGCGACGCAGCTGATCCAACCAGGCGGGTACATCAGCATCAGTCACCCGCTAGGGCGTGCTTGGCTCCAGGAATTCAGGTGGCAGGATGAGTTCAGGAGGTGCATTGATTGACAGCTTTGCGGAAGTTTGGCTGTAGTGACGAATCATAAAGTTCACATGGCCTTCAAGTGACCAACACTCAATACAGCCCTTCCAAACACTGTCTCGCATTTGCGACACAGACAAAGAGAGCCTGAGGTGGTACCGCATGAGCTGCCAGACGAGGTGGCCTTGCAGCGCCTGATCCATACCCTGCCCCTCGCATGTCGCGAGTATGTGGACCAGCCTGACATGTATCGCGCACTCCTTCAGGTTTGGGAGATATTGATGTGCAACAGGATGGAAAGGTTCGACCCAAAGTGTGTCATTTTCATTTCAGTCAAAGTCCACTATTTCCATTTGCAATCTTGCCACCCTCCTCAGGTACCACTGCGGTATGCTTTCCCAGGAGGACCGCTGCGGATGAGCGGGCCTGTTATATCTGGGTTTGGGCGAGGATCTCGTCAGCTAGGAGTCCCGACCGCGAATGTTCCCCCGGAAGGATTTCCTGACAGTCTTCCGAAGGGAGTCTACTTTGGGTGAGCTGCTTAGGGGTGTGGGTTGAATGATGGCAGAGGGACTGGCACGCCTGCCTCCCCAGCACCTCTTGGGTTGGGTGCCGCTCTCGGCTCGAGAGAATGACCTGGAGGCATTGTCATTGAAGCTGCCATGCGATGATGCCCACAGCACCTCTTCGGCCTTGTCCTCCTGTATGTTGAGTGCAGGTGGGCCCAAGTCGACGCGGTGCCAGACGCACCAGACACAGACAGGGCTGTTCATAAGATGGTCCTCAATGTAGGAGAGCGGCCTACTTTCGGGGATGCAGGTGCGAGGATTCAAATGATTTAGTGTTCTCAGAATACAAGTGCCAATGGCTGCAGGCTTTACAAGCGAATGAAAGGAATGCACTCAGACCTGTTCACAACACGCTTGCGAGTTGGCTCACATGTTTTATCACCAACCAACCAGTCCGTCATCCTCTGTGAGCAGACCCGGAAGTGAGTGTGGAGGCACACATCATGCATGGGTTCTCAGAGGATTTCTACGGACGGTCCACAAAACTTGTGATCCTGGGATTCATGAGGTGAGAGGGCCGGGAGAGGTGGTTAAATCTAGCACAAATGGTCACTTGCCTCTGGATTGCTCATGCTCGGGTTAGCTTGTAGGGTTCTTGGGGTATATTCGATGTTCATAGAAGCTCCGCCTATCGTTTTAAGATCTCAGCATAAATCTACCGCTACGGTGCAATATTTGTTCCTGGATTGGATATCCACCCGTATTCACCAGATCTTCCCGATCTCCATGCAAATGCAGACCGGAGATTTCTTTTGGGGGCCTGCCGGAGCTGCTATCTCAGATACGACGAGATATTGGGATTGCACGCGTGCAGTTGGATGATCCAGAGCTTCAAGCCTTTTCTCGCGACAAGCTCTTTACCCCCTGAGAAGTTTCTGCATATCATAAGATCTGGTCATTTACAAGCGAAGTCAGCTGTGTGCACATATATCATACCTGGATCTGGCAGTGTATCTTGTACCTGGGTTTCGTAGATACGTCAAAATTGCATCGTCGCAAGGGGTTGCATGGTCGATATGAATGCGCGTATCGTAGGCGCCCCTCTTGCCAGTATCCATTACGAGTTCGAGGTCAAGTCGCTCGTGGGGTAATCCTGATTGAATGGGGCTGAGGGACCCTGGTACGAAATGTCCCACGGCCACCTCCAGTCACATGGTTTGTCCTCCGCTCTCCGGAACCCACACCACCCATGCCGGAACAGGCGAGTTCCCACGGAATTCATACGCGGCCATCTCGGATAATTGGGCATTCGGGGTATAAAGTACTTGTCTTGCTACAGTATAGTACAGATCGCGGGCATAAGCCAAGGTATAAGTATCGAGACCCACCGCTCGGCACCATGCGCTCCAACCCTCCGAAACTGTTCCTGGCAACCCTGCTCAGCCTGTGCGCACTGACGTACGCCTCTAGAGGCCTTAACCAGGCCCACCTCACCGCCCCCTGCTACGTGCCTGACTCCTGGCAAGTGGTCTGAGTTGAATTTGGTGACCATCAAACTATATGTTCCTCACGTGTCGCCGCCATGAACACCGGCCCAGCACTGGGAGCATGGATCACTCCACCTGAGTCGGAACGTTCTCCAAAGGCTCACAGAGAAACGCATGGATCCCCACCCTCCTCAGGTACCCAATTCAGACCTGCAGAAAGGAGACCAGCCTCTCTGCCTGCGTGCGCGGCTTCAATGCATATGCTACCGAGGACATCTGCTGCAGTGCCAGTGGCGCTGGGGCCTTCCCCGGTGGCTGCTCCTCCGAGGTGGCAGAGTGCTGGGTGGCAGGCACCTACTACCCGACCAAGACCTGCACAGTCAGCAGAAACGCCACCCAGTGTGCCCAGAACTGGGGTCAGGTAGGAGAGGTTGTCTCCGAGTACATGGAGTGCTTGTTCATGGGCAAACCCCACCGCAAGTGTTGGTCTGAAACGAAGTATGCTCTCGTCTGTCATTTCACCCAGGCTGAGGTCTGTCCCTTGGCAAGCTCGAGTCACACCCGACACACCAGCGTCCCGTGCATTCCCATGCGCAGTGGACCAGTCAGGACGATTGCTGTGCCCCCGGCGCCGCATTCGCCGGGGGCTGCTACAAGGTGGCCCCCTGCTGGGCAGCTACCCAATGGTACCCGAAGCAGGCATGCTCCCAGACCGACGATCAGTCGGTCTGCCAGCGGGGCTGGGGCGCCTACGCGTCCAAAGTGGAGTGTTGCAGCCTGGGCCACGCTTTCTCTGGGGGCTGCACTGCCTGAGGCTGGAGGAACGCCGAGTGTGCCGTGACGTCTGTCCTTGCCCTTTCTCCCGAGGAACAGCGCTCGAGATCAGGATCTTCCCACAGTCAGAGAGTGGTAGGCCTTCTTTGACCACCAGGCAGCCTGCCTCCCCTGTGCCACCACCCTACTGATTGCACCAGAGACCCGCGCGCAGCGTGATGGAGTGCCGCTGTCATTTTGACCACGGAGGAGAAGAGTAGGGCATGCTTTTTGGCAGCAGCTGCTCCGTTGACCTCCCTGCCTGACACCTGTGATCCACACTGATGCAAAAACATACATGCTCGTGCCCCTGTCCCGCAAGATCGTCAACCAGACACACTGCATGTGAGACAGGTTGACTGGACGGGGAGATTGAACAGGTGCCCTGGTTTTGGCACTCGGAGCAGCTGGCGAGCGGCATCGACAAACATGCTGGCCCTTCATTCCACGCTTGAAAGCCCGACATTCCTCTGCCTCTGTGGCTACCAAACGCCAGTGTACATCACTCCATGAACGGCGCCAGGAGTCGCATGGCCTCCTGTGCAGCTCCAGCCCCCCCCCGCGCCCCTAAGGCACCTGCCAGCGCGGAAGTCAGCCCCGCGCCGTAGGCGTCCGCCAGCCCGGCCAGGGAGGTGGACAGCGCGTCCTGCAGCGCCCACACCGGCGCCAGCGCGGCGTCCTCGCCACGCCGCCCGCCGCCGCCCAGCGCTGCCGCCAAGTCGAGCGCCGCGGGTGGCAGCGCCCGCGCCCGCCTCTCCAGCGCCCTCACCCGCCCCAGCGTGCCCAGCAGCGCGTGCGTGACCTCGCCCACCCCTGGCCGCGCCACCTGCACGACGCCCGACCGGTCTTCCCACACGGCCGAGCGGCACAGCGCGCCCAGCGCGCGCGCCGCGTCCGCCGCGTCGCTGCCACGTTCGAACACCGCGAGCAGTGCCCAGACGATGGCCTTCCTTTCTTGCGTGGGACCTGCGCCGGATGCAGAGGGCGGCGCCGGATTCCAGCCCCCGGCCCGGCCGCCGGGCGTGGCGCCGGCGGCCGAGGCCCCCGCCCCCGTCGCAAGTGGATCCAGCCCGCCGTCCAGCCGCTGCAGCTCCTCCAGGCAGGGCCCTGCCAGCGCGACCCAGGCCCCGCCGCTCTCGTCGGCCCACAGTCCGGCGCGCAGGGCGGCGGCCGCCGCCGAGGCGCCGCCCGCCAGCTGGCCGGCCAGCGCGCGCAGGGCCAGGGCCCGCAGCATCGACCCCGACGGCGCGGCGCGCAGCGGGGCCGCGGCGTCGGGCGTCCCCGCCGCGCCGCGGAAGTCGCGGGCGGCCAGCGGCTCGGCCAGTAGCAGCGCCGTCAGTGTCGTGCCGGCCGCCCACAGCGCGGCGATGGCAGCGCAGGACCCCGCACCGAACAGCAGTGCGGCGGCGGTGTGGCGCGGCGCGGCGGCCAGGGCGCCAGCGCCCAGGACGGGGGCTGCGAGCAGTGCGGTCGCCGCGAGGGCCGAGGCGCCGGCCCGGCCGGCGAGCGCCGTCGCGGCCCGCGGCACCGCTTTCCTCACCCGTGCAGCACGTGGGCGGTGGACCGCAAGGGGGGTCACCACATACATCTGGCTGCAGGGTAAGGGTGGTGGCAGAGGTTAGATTGGGCGGAGGGGTGTGTGTGTGTGTGTGTGTTGATGCCGCCCTTGTAGTGAAGGTGGTCCCCTGGTTTGCAGGCCGGCAGGCGCCACGGCACACTGGAAATACCGATCCATAACCCTTGGAACAAGATCCTCAGGTATGGTGAGTTCTTTGAGGTGCTGCATGGTCATCAAGGCAGCCCCGCAGTCCCTCACCAGACTCGGGCATGGTGCAGGTACGCAGCGGCCAAGCAGGCCGAGTATAGGACTGTGCAGAGAAGGGGGTCAGCGGAAGGGGGTGACAAGAGGCCTGCGCGCATGTGCTGAACAGCTGACACGAGGCATTGCATGCACACTTCCTCAAAAGTCCTATGAATGCCCAGTCGAGGGCATCACCCCAGGCAGACTCTCAGTTTGGGGTTTGCTGCCACCTTGGCAGCGCATCGAGGTACCACAGCCTCCATGCGGCAGCTGCAAGGGATCCACATGGGAGCTCGAAAAAGAAGTCAAGCAAGCTTGATCTAAGCCATGCGCTCACCAGCGAGTTTCAGGTCCAGGGTCAGGCTGAGGGAGAGCAGGGCGGAGAGCCAGAGGCTGGCCGCCGCTGTGACGCTGCTGGCCAGGCTCGCCAGGCTCGAGAGGGGGCCCAGGGCACGCGATAGTGCGATCCTCAGTCCCAGAGGCACCCATGGTATCAGGATGGGGCTCGATATCGGTGGGTGGGGCTTGAACAGCGCGATCTGGCCCAGGAAGGCCAATGCTTGGGAGAGGAGGGTGAGGGAGATGGGGGGCACATGGCTGCCCAGCACCGCCCGTGTTGTGCACGAGACTGACAGTACCAGCACCAGATGCCAGATTCCAGCGGCTGCCAACCTCCAGCGCAGCACATCAACCGCCAGGCACTCCGGCAGGAGGGCCATGGTCGGGAGCAGGTCGGGCTCCCGTGCTCCTTGACTCGTCTGTCTACGTGTCACCGCATTGCCTGTGGATCGTCAGACGGATTTCACGAAAGCTTAGATTATATTCGCATTCAATGCATGCACAGGGTGCCCCCCCCTGATTGATCATTTGAGCGTTTCGCGCGCGCAACCGTGATCTGTCGCTCAAACTCCCCTGACCGGCACAAACACTCGGCATAAATCGAGGTTTCCATACGCTTGGACGGGTCATGTCGACAGCATTCGGAGACCAGGCAGGTAGGGATAAGGAGAGGGGGATTGGGATTGGGAAGCTGCAAACAAGATACTACAGGGTCAGGAACCGAGGAGGGGTGCAGGGCAGCGGGATAACGGCTGGCGGGGCGGGGCATATCGGGCCGAGCCCGGCACTCCATCTGATGGTCCAAAGCGCGCGAAGCCAGCCGCTCGAGCGCCAGCCCCCGGGCCACCGCCGATCCCTCAGCGCTATTGCGCGCCCCCTACTCGGCCTTGGCTGCTGCTGCCTGCTCGAAGTCGCCGACAAGCTCGGGCACGTCGTCGTCGCCCTCAGGCTCGTCGGCCGCGCCCTCCGGGTTGAAGGAGGGCAGGCCGGCTCCGCCGCCGCCCATGAGCTGGGCCAGGGACTGCATGTTGGGCACGCCGCCCATGCCGGCCAGCATGGAGGCCAGCACGTCCTGGGCGCCTGCGGGGGGGGAGGGAGGGGTGGAATGGATGAACATGGGGAGGACTGCACGGAGTCAAGCTCCACAGTGCGCTGACGGCCACGCTGTTAAGATGCCCACCGCCACGCCGCCTGACCGATGCCGTGCACGGCGCCGCCGCCACCCTCATGTTCCCTGGTCATGCATGCAACGTACAGAATCACGACTGAAACGTACGCTTCTGCTGGGAGGGGCCGGACACGACGTAGGTGTTGGCGGCGATGGAGGCCTGCACCTTGGGGTTCAGGAACTGCAGCGCGCTGCCGTCGTTGTTGATCAGCAGCACCTCCTCGATGCCGGGGATGGTGTTCACGCCCAGGCGCTTCAGGGTGCCTTGCAACCGCTTGTCGTCGGTGGAGGTGTTCTTGTGCACGGCCTTCTTCTTCCTGGGGGGATGGGCAAGGGGGTGGGGGACGGATGTTGAGACGTGTTCTCCCTGGTGCGCATGTGGAGCGACCACATTCCGGTTGATCAGGGGTTCATGATGAGAGGTACGCCTCGGAGGGGCATGCTCCCGGGCCCCGCCGGCAGCCTCTCGGCACCATCACCGAGTTCCGGCCCCCAGGTCTCACCGGCGCACAGAGCCCTTGCCGCCCACCCGGACGGCGCCGGCCATCTTCTGCAGCTTCTCCGCATTCATCTGCGGGGGTGCATGCATGGGAGGGGATCGGTGACACATGGCATTCACAACGAGCAGGTCGGCAGCCCAGCACCCAGCGCCATCCATTGCTCCCCGATCTGGGTCTCCATGGTAGTCCCACCTTGGCAAGCAGAAGCGAAGATGGGGGGGACGTGGATGGCGTTCGCTTGCAGGGCTCCAGGTCCCGTCCAGGCCACTATGTTCCAGGCTCGCCGGCCCTGTCGAGCTGGCCAGCCTGCCTGGGTCGATGCGCTCCCGCCCCCAAAGACACCCACGAATGTCTACACACTGACGTCATGTTGCTGGGACCCGGCAACTTACCTCGCCGGCCCCTCTCTTCCCCCATCTGCCATCCATCCCACGCCCGCTGCTCGTCCAGCAGCACCGCGGCTGTTCGCTCTACGCCAGCAGGGGTGGGGCACAACCTCGCTCGGGGGGGACCCTGCCCATCCGGCATCTCGCGCCCTCGCCGTAGACCCCGGCTCGACACACTTCAGCGCCACGCTTCTGTGATCTACACTTTCTCTTCCTTGATCGGCACCCCCTGAGGCTCCGCCATGCAGTCGCCCCTGCTCACCTTCCTGCGCCGGCTCGAGGCCCAGAACATCTGGCGCGTGACTTACAATGCCCTGCCCCAGCAGCAGTACAGCTCCACGGCTGTCCAGGATCAGGCGGAAGGTGGGGGAAGAGCCTGGGGTGTGGGGGGTACTGTGCGCAGGGGGTGTGGTGTGTGTGAATGGGGCACTGCTCTGGTACTGTCTGTGCTGTTGTGTTTATAAGAGCAGGGAGAGGGTGCTACTCAGGCCTTGATGTGTTGGCATCCCACCTGCCCTCGCGCCGGCATCGGCCAGGACTGGTAGGCCCCTGGCCTGTTGTGAGTCTCACGGTGAACCGTCACCCCTCTCCTGGTTAT